GACATCCAAGACTTTCCAGAAATTAGCGAAATGTGGCGATTCGTGTGGGAATTGTGTTTATATGCAGTTGAAGTAGTTCCTGTCTCGTTCGCTTGGAAATTATCGGGTCTCTAGCTGCTATACGATTCAAAAAGTATTTGTGTAACTGACTTTCCGTAAAGACGAACAGACATATCCTCAACGAGAACGGACAAAGTGACGACTTCGACTTGGTTTTCTTAAATTGACTCGTAGAGCTTCCCTAAGAGCGAAGCGGCGAAGCTAATTAGTTATTCCGCCGCGCCGGGGGGCTAGTTGGCAAAACAAATCTCGAGCGAAGTTTTGTCTTTCGCTGATATATGAAAAATCATTTTCTCGAAATTTCGACGGTCGTTTGAGCTCTACTGTTTCCCCCCCATCTTGAGTCTTTTTCCCGCTCGCGATCTTGATCTCAGGTCGATCGGGTACATATTACTGTCAGAAAGCACTCAGGCGGGATCGGCTGTTTAGTCTCATCTTGACAGGTTTTGTCGGTTTTCTGAACTTAACTGGGGCTGCGGATGAGCTGCAGAGATGTTCGGAACAGCAACCGAAAGGCAATCCTCAGAAGCGCTAGTCCCCAATATCTAGATGCCCAAGTTCGGTCTGCTACCAGAGCTGTGTCCGAACAACTTATCGTGCTCTGATTATGTTTTAGAGATGATGATGTGTTTCTGGATGTAGCTCGAGCCGCAGAGGAGTCATTGAGCTGTTTGGCACAGCGCTCGAAGACAATCATCGGACGCGCTCGTATCAAGTATCTAGATGCCCGAACTCGGTCTGCCCGCAGAACTGGGTCCGAACAACTATCCGTGTTCTGTTTTTTTTACGAAATTACGTTGAGTTTCTTGATGTAACTCGGGCTGCAGATGAGCTACAGAGCTGTTTGGCGCAGCAATCGGAAGGAAATCATCAGGCGCGCTAGTCTCGAGTCATCTAGATGCCCGAACTCGGTCTGCTACCAGAGCTGTGTGCGAAAAACTATGCGTACCCTGCTAATTGTTTAAGAGACGAGGCTGACTGTCTTGAGGCAGCTCGAGCAGCACAAGAGCTACTGAGCTGTTTGGCACATCGATCGAAGGCAATCATCAGACGCGCTAGTATCAAGTATCTAGATGCCGGAACTCGGTCTGCGCCCAGAGCTGGGTCCGACAAACTATTCGTACTCTGTTATTTTTAAGAGAGTACGATGAGTTTCTTGATGTATTTCGAACTGCAGATGAGCTACAGAGCTGTTTGGCACAGCAATCGGAAGGAAATCATCAGACTTCTAGTCTCCAGCATCTAGATGCCCGAACTCGGTCTGCTACCAGAGCTGGGTGCGAAAAACTTTTCGTACTCTGCTAATTTTTCAACAGATGATGACTTCCTTGAGACAACTCGAGCAGCAGATGAGCTACAGAGCTGTTTGGCACAGCAATCGAAATGCAATCACCAGAAGCGCTAGTCTCAAGTATCTAGATGTCCGACTTCGGTCTGCTTCCAGAGTTGGAACCAAACAAAGAGTTTCTAGAGATGACGACGCCTTTCTTGATGTAGCTCGAGCTGCAGATGAGATCAGAGCTGTTCGGCACGCAACTGGACGAAGATCATCAGGAGCGCTAGTTGCAAGTATCTACATGTTTGAAATCGGTCTGCTACCAGAGCTGGAACCAAAACAACTATGCGTACTCCTGCTCCTCGTCCTCTTCCATCTTCTCCTTCTGCTCCTCCTCTTCCTCCTCCATCTGATCCTTCTCCTCTTTTTCCTCCGGCTCCTTCTTTCCTCTTTCTCCTCATTTTTCTCATCATCATCATCATCATCGTCCCTCGTCTCCCCCTCTACCCTCCCCCCTCCTGCTCGTCATCCTCCTCTTCCTCCTCCCCCTCCTTCTCGTCCGCCTGCTCCTCCTCCTCTTCCTCCTCCTTCTCTTCCTCAGCCTCCTGCATCTCCTTCTCCTTACCGCTCCTTCTTCTCTTCCACGTCCTCCTCCATGACACCGCGCCCTCGCGCGCGCGAAATGCGAGATTGCCGCGCCCGCATTCCATTCATGTAGTTCGAGGAAGCTCTACGAGTTCCCGGCGGTAATCAAGGTTGGCGGTTTACCGCCGGCTCCCAATTTAAAGATTTCGGGAGCGCAGATTTTCATTCCCTGTGACAGTATGGGAGTTTCATTCTGAGAGCAGGTCAGCTTTCTAGGTGTAGCTGTACTATCGAAACATGACTCGTAGAGCTTCCCTAAGAGCGAAGCGTCGAAGCTAGAGAGTAATTCTGGCGCGCTGGGGAGCTAGGCTGCGGTCCTGGCCGGAAGTGGGAAACAATCGCGAATTTTTCGCGTTCGTTTCTTCTCCCAGCAGCGGCCGCGGCAGCGGTTGTGGCTGCAGCCGAGGGGGAGAATATCGCGAATTTATCGTTGTGGATTTTCCTTTCCCAGCCGCGGCCGTGGCTGCGGCTGGGAGGGGGGCGCAATCGCGAATTTTCGCGGTGATTTGCCCTTTCCAGCTGCGGCCGCAGCCGCAGCCGCGACCGCGGCCGCGGCCGCGACTGAGGGGCGGGGAAATTATCGCGAATTTTTCGCGGTGGTTGTCTCCTCCCAGCCGCGGCCGGCGGCCACGGCTGCGGCCGCGGTTGGGGGGGGGAAATTATCGATATTTTTTCGCGATGGTTTTTCTTCTGCCAGCCGTTGCCGCGGCTGCGGTTGTGGCTGCAGCCGCAGCCGCGGGTGCGGGGAACTATCTCGAATTTTCCGCGGTGGTTTCTCTCCCAGCTGCGGCTGTGTCTGTTTGCGCAGCCTTGGCTGCGGTCGCGGCTGGGTGTGGGGAGCTATCGTGAGTTTTTCGCGGTGGTTCTTCTCTCCCAGCTGCGGCCGCGGCCGCGGTTGTGGCTGCTGCCGCCGCCGCGGTTGGCAGGGGGGAACCATGGTGAATTTTTCGTGATGGACTGCCCCGCGACTCCTCCATTTTCATCTCCTCCGCCCACGAACTTCCTCCTCCTCCTCCTCCTCCTCCTCCTCGTTCTCCTCCCTGCCCTCCGCCTCCTCCTCTCCCCCTGCTGCTTCTCTTCCGTTTCCTCCCCTTGGCTGCCGCGGGGGCATTTTCGCCGCTGCGCATCTCGCCCTGCCGGCTTCCAGCGGCCCCGCAGAAACTCGTGGAGTCCCAGGGGCGTTCCGAAGAGGTCCCCCAGAGGCTCCAAGAGGCGACGAAAGCATTTAAGAACCCCCCCCCCCCTTCCGGCAAATCGATAACCCTTCCGCACCCTGGAAGCGTTACCTGGCACCAGGAGCCCTCCTCCTCCTCCTCCTCATCCTCCTCCTCCTCCTCCTCCAGCAAGCGACATCCTGAGTCTTTCATCCCGCTCGAATTTCTCCAGGGGCCAGGCCTCCGCGAATTTGTTGTGTGTCCGGGTGCTAAACCTATCGTGCGGTTATTTCGGCCCCTCGGAATATCGAATAAAAATGCGGTGCTAAGATATCGCCGGGGGGTTTCTTAAATGCTTCCTGTACCCCGACGAGGCCCCCCCCCCCAGAGGCTCAAAGAGATCCCCTAAGTCGCCCCCCTACATGCTTTTGCAGAGGCCCTCCACGGACCGCTGGGAAAAACCGCACACTCGTCACGAAATCCAGGGGCGCACCATCCCGATGGTGCTCTTCGTCGCCCCCCGAGCATTTTCCAGCCCGCCAGCCCAGCGAAGCGGAGTGACATTCTATCCGTTTGCAGGGCATGGCGTGTCGCAGGGGTCGCCGCCGCGACACGTTAAGCGACAGTTTCAAAACGCGGGCAGGCTCGGGGACTGGTGGTGATGAGCCAGGCGAGGACGAGGATGATGATGATGACGATCATGATGATGCGCGAGCTTGACGTACCGCCATGGCTAGCAATACTTCGCCAAGGATGCTTTTCATGGTGTTGTGGATAATGTTGATCGTGCGTATGATCAGGATGGCTTTTGTACACATTGAGAGTATGAACGTGAGAAGTATGAGGATTAGGTATTGAACCAGGGTGTGGGTGAGGATGCCTACGACTATGTCACGCGCCCGTGGTTGATAGCGATGACCAAGATCAGCCAGCGCCCCCCCGGCATGGGCTAGAACCTGAGCGCGCGCGAAGCGCGTGCGATTGTTCTAGTACACGCACTCTCTCTCTCTCACATATATATATATATATATGTGTATATATACACATATATACATATAAATAAATAAACAAACACACGCACCAATGAGAGTGTGAGGTCTATGTCCACGCCAGGGTGACAAGACAAGGCTGGCGCGGTGTTTTGTCAACCCCATCGAAGGTGTGCATGGAGCGGTCCGCGAGCGCGGTTTCGATACACTCCAGGTCGCAGGGTGTGTCAGGTGTAGCACTTGCGCGTCCCAGGGAGGATGCGCAGGGGGTGGTCCTTCAGCACATTCTTCAGCCGCGCCAGGGTCGCAGGGCGTGGGACGCGTGGCCGGACGCCGACAAAAGGGGTGCGCAGGACTCTGCTTTTGAAGGCGGGGCGTCAGGGCGGTCGCGTGGACGTCCCTGGCGGTCTTGCTTGCCCCGCTTCCTTTTTGTGAAGTATGTGTGCGCTACAGCGCTGGGAATCACTATGATTACCCCCCCCCCCGCATTTGTGGCAATTGTTCACACACTGTTCATGTGATGTGTGTACCGCCCTCAACGTGGAGACGCTCGCGCCGAGAACCCTGATAGTACACCTTCGGTGGCGGACGCGTTCTGGCGGCCCCGCTCTGGAAACGGTGTGCTGCCAACCGGTTGTACTTATATGTCCGGGTCGGGCGCACGCTTCCGAGGATGACGCATCAGACCAGTATTTCCCCTGTGCGCCCCATGGGAGGCTCCCCCGAGCTGCCGCCGAGCCCTTTTGTCGGGGACCAGCACCGACCCTGGCGCGCTCCGCGCGCCGGTGCCGGCCCGAGAACTCCGAGCGGACCTTTTTGATGTTTTATGCTCATATCATTGTTGGTTCCCCTGCACTTCGGTTGCGTAGCGCGACGATGCGCGATGCAGCGCGGTGCCTCCGCGAAGAGCTGGGCCTCCAGGATCTCAGCGACCTCGAGGTGGCCGCATCACGCCATGCAGCGTGTTCGCCTTGCTCTTCGTGCAGCGCTTGCCTTCTTGGCTCGAGGGTCCCCACCGCCCCGCCCGAAACCCGCGCCATTCGCTGGGGCGGCGGGGCGCGGGCCGGGCGGCCGGCTGGCCGCGCCACGGGGCCGCGGCCCTGCAGCGGGCCGGGGAGCCGCCGCCGCATGCGATGTCCCAGCCCAAGGCGTGGCGCGATCGGAAGTGGTGCGAGGTTCGGGGCTCGAGGTTCGAGGTTTTCGGGCGTTCTCGTCGGATGTCGGCGGCTCTCCAGCTTCGGGGGGCTCTCCAGCAGTGAGTTGCACGGCGCCGAGGGTTGCTGAGGGTGGCGGGGTACTCCCGAACGGCCGCCGGAGGCCCGAGTTATGGCCCGAAAGCCACTTCGGACGGGGATGCTGGGATCGGCGCGGGGTTGTTATATAAGGGGATAGGGGGGCTATCAGTGGATGCCATGGTGGGTTATATTCTGGCCTAGCCCACTTCATAAGTGGGCTTCAGTGCCCCAAGCGGTTAACACGGGGACGAAAACCCACAGCCCCTGATGTCCTGGCGTCACAATTTTTCCATGCAGGGTGTTTTCGCGCGGTTTCGGGTTCCAGGATCCTCACACATCGATCCGTCTTGAAAAATGGCGCAGAAGTATGAGGTTCGGGGTTCTGGCCGTGATCTCTCACGATGCTGTATTTCTTCCGCTGCGTCAGAACCCTGGCACAGCCCGTGCCCACTTTGAAGAGGAATCGCTGCCGTCGTCGCCGCGGACGTCGTCCATGTGAGACAAGACGTCGCCTGCCGAACAGCGTCTGCTGCCAGATCTTGACGACCCTTCTTTCCCGTATCTTTGTCGGGCGTGCCAGAAGGTGGGCCCGAGGCTGAAGGTCAGCGTGCCCAACTTCCGGAGGACCGACTTCTCCGGCGAGATCGACCGGCGCTGAGGGGGGGGAAACACAGATGCCTCCAACCCTCCTTCGTTCTCGCCGTTTTGGGCCTCCGGGGAGGCCCTCGTCGCCAGGGCTGGACTCGCCTCGAAGAACAGTGCGCACCCCAGGAGGTCTGGGGAGTACCGGTACAGTCGGGGCGCTGAAGAAGTTTTCGCTGGGGAGGGGCTCGGTGCTCCTTGATTGTTTCACAGCTTGCCTCAGGTTTCCCTTATGTTTTCGATGGGAAATCGAAGTTTGACTTATGGGAAAAAGGGGCCTCGTTTCTTATTTGGGGTTGCTTAGGTCAACGCCCCGACTGTATTGGCATCTTCTGGTTTCCCCAGGCTCGGTGGCCTGGGCTCCGCGCGGCGGGCGTCGGCGGCGACCAGCGGACGGCCAGGAACAGAAGACGGCGCCAGCGTGGCCGACGCAGACGAGCGGGGTCGTCCGTGCTGGCAATCGCGCGCAGGCTGCCCGCGCAAGGTTGCGCGTGAGCGCCCGCGCTTCCAGTGTTCGGGTGTTGCTAGAGGTGCCCCTGGCCCAAGGTGCCCCCAGGATTTTCAAGGGGGCCACTACGGCCTCCAGAGCACCCCTCACGAGGTCCAGGGGGCCCCAGGAGCTCCAAAGTCGAGCGAAAAGCTGGGGGCACCTTGAGCCAGGGGCACCTTGAGCAACCCCCGAAGTGTGCTGTGCCGTGCTGGCGGCCCGCGTAAGCCACGGCGTGAGTCGGCCACGCGCAGATAGGGGGTATTTGGGAGGGTGGAGGGCTTCTTAGAAGCACCTCTGCTTCTTAGAAGGCGCGGGCCTTGTCTGCAGGCATAAGTCCTGCGCCTTCTAAGAATCAACCTCCTTCTAAGGGGCCTTCCCCCCTCCCCCTGCCCCCCTGTGCGCGCCGCCAAGTAAGGTCGCTGATTATGGCATCTCGCCTGCGACTCTTGCCTTTCCAGGGACTTCGACGGCAGCCTCGGATTTCCAGCTGTCGAGTGTTGGCTGTGATTGGCTTCTGTGCTCTCCTCGCACACCGCCCACTCCACGCGGGCGCCTCTGGTCTGCACTGCGTCCTCAGCGCAGTGCACACCCTCGGCAGCGATCAGTGGAAAGGATAATGACATAAATAAACATAAAAACTCGGAGGTCTTCGCAGAATTTTCGGATCGGCGCTGGACCCCCCTCCCTGGCGCGCGGAACGCGCCAGGGGCGACGCCGGAGGCGCCGCCAGGGGGTCCCTTGGCGGATCCAAGAAATCCGCGCGGACCTCCGAGTTTTCATGTCTATGTCATTGCTCCTTCACCTAGCGTTAAGGCGGGCCTGTCCCTCTACAGGGGGGATAGTCAAAAGTAGTCAAAAAATGTTCAGGGGACTATTTTTGGAACACTTCCGGACCATTTCGCAGCATTTTTTGGGCTAATTTTTCGTCGAAGATCCCCCTGCAGGGGGACACGCCCGACTTAACCCCAGCGATGCCCTCTGGCATCCCTCCGCGGATCCTCCTCCTCCTCCCCCTCCTCCTCATCCGCCGCTCCTCCTCCTCCTCCTCCTCCTCCTCCTCCTCCTCCTCCTCCTCCTCCTCCTCCACCCTCCTCCTCCTCCTCCTCCTCCTCCTCCTCCTCCTCTCCTCCTCCTCCACTCCTCCTCCTCCTCCTCCTCCTCCTCCTCCTCCTCCTCCTCCTCCTCCTCCTCCTCCTCCTCCTCCTCCTCCTCCTCCTCCTCCTCCTCCTCCTCCTCCTCCTCCTCCTCCTCCTCCTCCTCCCCCTCCTCCTCCTCCCCCCCCTCCTCCCCCTCCGCCGCTCCGAGCTCGTCGCTCGCGTGGCCCCCTCGGAGGTCCGCGCGGATCTCCCGGGGGCCAGCGCCGGGCCCCCACCGGGCGGCGCCCCTGGCTCGCCCGGCGGGCGCGCGCGCCGCGCGACAGGGGAAGGGGGGTTGGCACCTTTGTCAAGAGCGCCCTCGAGGGCGCGAAGTTATTCGCGCTTCGCGCTTCTCGGTTCGGCTCCCATTCCTCCTCCTCCTCCTCTTCTCCCCTGGGAGGCGGCGCGAGAGCGCGAAGTTATTCGCGCTTCGCGCTTCGCGCAGCGCGAAGCGCGAAGTTGGGAACCCTTGCTTTGTGGGCCCCGGAAACGGCAGGGCCGTTTTTTTTTCACCGCTTCCCCCCAAAAATGTCCCTTGAAAGTGGACACGGCAAAGAGGGGCTCTGTCGGCCAAAAGAGGTGGGGAGCGCAAGCCCAAGAGAGAGCATAACGAATCGGAAGGATGTCTGCAGCATTGGGCCTCTCCTGCACTGTGTGGGCCCCGGAAACGGCAGGGCCGTTTTTTCACCGTTTCCCCCCAAAAAATGTCCCTTGAAAGTGGACACGGCAAAGAAGCGGCGACCGGGAACGGCCAAAAAGACAGCTCCAGGATTGGAGCCGGAGCCGGAACCCGTCAAAAAACGGCGACGGAACCGGTAACAAAAACGGCGTCGGAACCAGCAAAAAAACGGCAAAACGGATATGGTAAAAAAACGGCCCTGTCGTCTCCAGGGCCCACTAGGGTCGGCACCACCCAAGCGCACTTGTGTTAAGTCGGGCCCGTCCTTCTACAGGGGGAATGTCAAACAATTGGAAAAATAGTCGGGGGACTATTTTTTCAGCATTTCTGGGCCATTTTGGGGTAATTTTTTTTTGTTAAAGTTTTTTTTTAATTCTCTTGCGCAGCTGTGCTCTAGAGCTCGGACATCTTGATTTTTGTCGTGGTGCGTGGTTTTGTGGTGGTTCGTCCCCCTCGGCCCCTCCCCTGAGCCTGAACCCCCGCTCCCCTGGGCCACCCACATCTTTATTTTCGTCGTAGTTCGTGGTTCGTGGTGGTTCGTCCCGCTCGGCCCCTTCCCTGAGCCTGAGCCCCAGCTCCCCTGGGCCACCCACTCGTCGGAGGCTTGCTCCGCCCAGACTTCCCAGGGCAGCCCCCCTGGGCCGCGGACATCCTTATTTTCGTCGTGGTTCGTGGTTCGTCGTGGTTCGTCCCCCTCGGCCCCTCCCCTGAGCCTGAGCCCCAGCTCCCCTGGGCCACCCCTCCTTGGGACCCCCCCTCCGCCCAGGCTTCCCAGGGCAGCCCCCCTGAGCCGCGGACATCCTTATTTTCGTCGTGGTTCTTGGTTCGTCGTGGTTCGTCTCCCTCGGCCCCTCCCCTGAGCCTGAGCCCCAGCTCCCCTGGGCCACCCCCCTTGGGACCCGCCCTCCGCCCAGGCTTCCCAGGGCAGCCCCCGTGAGCCGCGGAACTCTCTGTGCAAGAGCCAGGGTACGCGTGCCACTTGTTTTTCGTCGCAGATCCCCCTGTAGGGGGACACGCCCGACTTAACACTTGTTCCGTGTGCCTTGGCCTCGCTTGGACGTGTGCGCTTTTGTCTTGGTCAGGACCATCTAGGAGCATTTTGGGCCACCTGGCGAAACGACTGCGCGCGGGACACACCGAGAACGTGCACAAGGAATTGACGCCTGAGCGACGGCGAGGTGTGTGTCGGCCGCGCAATGGTGACGCGCACTGTCAGATATCTGACAGTGTAAGCTCCGTGGTGGGCGCTTGCTGGTCACACCGCCTGGGTAACGGCATACTCTGATGTATCTAATGACCTTCGGCCCATCCCGCGACCGTGCCTGGGTTGTGGGTCAGAGTTCTCAGGGATTCTTCTTTCGGTCTCTCTGGAACTCTCTCGGGGGCCTCTTGGGGGCAGTTGTCGGGCCTCTTGGGAGCCTCTTGGGGGTCTCGTGGGGGGCCTCTCGTGGCCTCTCGGGCGGCTCTTGGGGCCTCTTGCGGGCCTCTTGGGGGCCTCGTGGGGGCCTTTTGGGGCTTGTTTGGGGCCCTCGGGGCTGAGGGCTCGAAATGTCCGTTCGGTCCCCCCACCTGGGCCCCCTTTTCGAGCCGCCTTAGGGCCCTGTTGGGCAGTTCTTTTGGGCCCTCTTGGAGGCCTCTTGGGCCGTGTTGGGGTGATCTTGGGGGCCTTTTGGGCTGTCGTGGAGCGTCGGGCAACCGGAAAGGCGAGAACGCCAACAACCTTCGAACCTGAGAGTAATCAATGTTTTTGGCCTCTTGGGGCCCTCTTGGGACGCCTCTTGGAATACTCTTGGGGGCCTCCTGAGCCGTGTTGAGGCCCTCGTGGGCGTATTGGGGCGATGCTTCGGCGACTTGGGCCCTCTTGGGGTCGTATGCAGGGCCTCTTGAGCCTCTTTTCGGCCCATTTGGAGCCAGCTTGGTCCCGACATACTATGATACATTTTTGTATATTTACATATGTACAAACATACGCACCTGCCTACCTACCTACCTACCTGCCTGCCTGCCTGCCTGCCTGCCTGCCTGCCTGCCTGCCACACATACATACATACGTACATACATACATACATACATACATACATACATACATACATACATACATACATACATACATACATACATACATACATACATACATACATACATACATACATACATACATTACATACATACATACATACATACATACATACATACATACATACATACATACATACATACATACATACATACATACATACATACATACATACATACATACATACATACATACATACATACATACATACATACATACACACACATACACACATACATACATACATACATACATACATACACACATACATACATACATACACACACATACATGCATGCATGCATGCATGCATACACACATACACATACATACATACAGGCATACACACATACATATATACACACATACATACATACACATACATACATAAACGCATCCATCCATCCATCCATCCATCAATCCATCCATCCATCCAGATATATACATGTATTTGTACTGCACATGTATATATACATATATATATATATGTATATATATATATGAACAAGTGTGTGCCAACGCTCACTACGCAAGGAATCGCATCACGCTATCGAGGAACCCCACAAGCTGATTATAGGCGCTGCGTGGCTATTTCATGTTGCACCCTGCTCGGTTCCATTTTGCCATGGGATTATCTTAGAGCATTGCGTAGTAATGCCACGATATACAGTTCTCACTTTCTGGCCACAAGCGTCTACAGGCAAAATGGGTGTTCTTACATATGTAAGCACACTCGGGTGTATACGTCTGTAAACACCGCGGCCGCTGCGTTCAGCGCAGTGCACGCAGACATGGAAGATCCGTCTACGGTATGCTCCTGTTCTGCGGTCGGACCGAGGTGTAAGGTCGTGGTCTGTTCGGGGAGGGTGTCCTAGTGCTCTTCGTGCTTGTTGGATGTTTTTGTGCAGCCTGGGTGATGGTACCCTCGAATGTTCTTCAGTCCAGCCGGCGGAGGTTTTCATGCCCTTCTGTCCCAGGTCCGACCGTAAGGCAGGTCTCACAGGTTAGGCGGCGAAGTCTATACACACCCACTGCTCCCTGGCCAGGCCCATTCCGAACCCGGGAGCTGCGTATACGTCCTCCTGGCCGGGCCAGGAGGGCGTGGCGCGTACACCGCTGCTGTGTTCAGGATGGACCTGGCCAGGGAGCAGTGTGCATGCACAGATGTCGTCGCCCTGCGAGGGTACTGCAGCCAAGAAGTCCGTGCGGACATCCGAACATCTGAGCGACGCAGGTAGATGGGGTCGTCTGCGCCGATGCTGCTCGTAAGCTCCCCGCGTGAGGTCGCGCGTAAGCGCTCTCGTTTCCAGCGCGGCGCGCCGCGCCGGCGGCCCGCGTGAGCTGCGGCGTCAGGTGGCTGTACCATCTCGCGCAAGACCCGTTTCTGATCGTTGCTCACCTGCTGTCGGCACGCCTTCTTCTGGTGGCGAGCGAGGGGGGGGAGGTGAGAGGGAGGAGGCCTCCTCGGCAGGCGGCGGGACGTCTGAGACGGCCCGCCCCTTCTCGCTTCCCCCCTCGCTTGCCGCCTGTTCTTTGGCCTCCTCCTCCAGGACAGCTCGGGCAGCTCTCGACCTCCGCGCTGTCGGCGCGGTGTGCCCCGTCCGCCCCGGGCGCCGCGGCCGGCAGGGCCTATCCCTCCTCCCCGAAGGTGCAGGGGCAACGCCAGGGGGGGGATGTGCTCAAAGGGGGGAGGGGAGGGGACCGCATCGACCCCCACTCGTCGACTAGGGGATCGACTACAACATTGACTCATCCCAACATTGAGTTGTTGTCATCCACTGAGGACAAGCGTATCATGGCTGTAACTCTACGAACCTTCTAGGTTTGGTTTTTTTTCCCGTAGATTCTATGGAAATTTCAAGTTTGGGGTTCATCAATTCTGTAGTCAATCCCCTACTCGAACTCTCCCACTGTTCGCCGATAGGGCCCGAGACCACCCCCCGCTCGGGAGCGTGAGGATCCGCTTTCGTCATGAGTTGGCGATCAGCACCCATATTTCAGCGACGCCCAGATTTCTCGGGGTGACATTCTGGGGGGTGGGTGGGGGTTATGGTTGTGCGTTGTCAGGTGGGTGTCCCCGCTCGAGCGGGAACCTCTCTCGGGTGTCGACAACTCTCGCCCATACCTACCGCGCCTTCTTCGCCTTGCCCTTCAACATCCAGTTTTGAGCGCATGTGAAACTTTCATCGCACCGGGGGCATATCGCCGATCTACCGGCGATGTGTCGCCGATTGCAGGTCGCCCACTGTTCGCAAGGGCGTTCTTGCATCCTTGCCTCCTCGGCCAATCGTTGGCCAGTTTCGACGATCGAGGGCGCTTAGTTTGGAAGGTCAGAGGCCCCTGCGTCCTGACCTTGCGTCCCTACCGTCGATTTTGTTGTGTTGCTACCCCTCGAAGGTGCAGAGCGCGAGAGGTCCCCTGCGCGCCCCTGCGGCCTCCAGCGAGGAGGAGGAGCCCCAGCTGGCGGGGCCCGCGCTCGAGGATCGCGAGCCCAGAAAAGGGGGCACGACCGGAGGCCCGGAGGTTGGCACCAACACAGTCTCCTCCTCCTCCTCCACCTCCTCCTTCCTCCTCCCTCCTCCCTCCTCCCTCCTCCCACCTCCTCCTTCCTCCTCCCTCCTCCCTCCTCCCTCCTCCCTCCTCCCTCCTCCTCCTCCTCCTCCTCCTCCTCCTCCCTCCTCCTCCTCCTCTCCTCCTCTCTTCGACCTCCTCCACCTCCTCCTCCTCCTCCTCCTCCTCCTCCTCCAGCTTCACCCAAACATTCAGGTCGCCCGTCTGGCCGCCCAGCAGGCGGGCCACGATCGCGCGCGCTCAGACGCGCATCTCGCTTCCAGTCGCCAGCGGTGCCGCTTTGGCGGGTGCCCCTCTACGGGAGGAATGTTCAAACATCGTAAACATTTTTGTCAGGGAACGTTTTTTGTTTTTTGTTTTTGGACTATTTTGGGTTATTTCTTTTCTGGTCATTTTTATGACATAGCATTTGTCATTTTTCGTCCAAAACCCGCCTGTGAGAGGACATGGCCCGACCTGACCAAACATACAGGCGGCCCGGATTGGTAGGTCGACCCTGCCAGATCAAGGGCTCCCTCGTGTCCTGTGTCTTGCGACCCATGCCTCCTGCATTTCTGTGGCAACGTGGCCCTTGGAAGGGTCATGTGTCCTCTAACTAGCGCTCGCCAGTTCAACTAATTAGCCTGGCGCGCCCGAGGCGCCAGGCTGATTAGTTGAATTGGCGGCGCCGCCGCTGGCGCTGGTGCGGGCCGCGCGCCCGCCGCATCCCTCTCTCTTCCTCCCCCCCCCTCCTCCGCCACTGGGCTTTTCTCCGCGCTGGTGTAAAAAGCGTCCTCTCTTGTGTCCTCTCGCGTGCCCTCTCCAATCAAGCCCGACTGTGCTTCCGCTGCGTGTGCGTGGCCCCGCTTGCACTGCTCGCACGTGCGCTTCGGCACGCAGGCCACGGCCTCCAGGGCCTGAGCGCGCCCCCCTCCCGCCGTCCCCTCCGGCCCTCCCCCTTTCGGCGTTCCCCTCGTGCCTCCTCTGTGCCCCGGCGCGTTCCGCTGGAGATCCCCACAGCGCACGCTCGGGTCGCGGGCGCTTTCTGACCACACCGCTGGGGCAGCGACATGCTGCGAGATGTTAGTGCTATAGTCAAGTCGGGCTTGTCCCTCTACGGGGGGATACTCCCAAATAGTCAAACAATAGTCTGGGGACGACTTGTTGATTAGTTTTTGACCCTTGGGGGGTATTTTTGGAGTGTCTTTTTTTTTCGCCCAAAATCCCCTCGGGGGGGGACAGTCCCGACCCAATGCTATAGGATCTTCTCGGGCGCGCGCCTCCCGGGAACCTACATGCCTCCGACGTCGTTTGATGTTTTTTTTTGTTTTGTTTCTAAATGTCTACATACATGTATATACACATGTGTGTATCTCTATATGTGAGAGAGCGTGATCCACCGCCGCTTTACCGTGGAAAATTACCAACCTTTTCCTCCAGAACCCGGGGGTCGCCCCCCCCCCCTCCGAAAATCCCCCCCCCCCGCCCCCCCCCCCCCCCCCTGCTGGAACCCCTCCCCACCCCCCCCCCTCTCCCCCGGCAAAACCCCCCCCTCCCTAACCCCTCCCCCCCCCCCTCCCGCTCGAAAACCGGGGGGGTCACTACCGGTTCGAACCCCTCCCCCCCCCCCCCCCTCCGGATCCGGAAAACTGGAGGGGGCCACTACCGGTTCGCACCCCCCCTTCCCCTTTCCCCCCCCCCCCTACTCACCGCCAGCAAACGACTCCCGGTCCCCACCACCGTCCGCATCACATCCCCCACTGGTGTTCCCAGCACCACTGTCCTCACCACCACTGTCCCCACTGGTTCCACCACCGCCACTACTGTTCCCACCAGCGCCCCCACCACTGTCGCACTGTCCCCGACTGTCCCACTGACTCCTCCGCTGTCCCACTGAGCTGTCCCACTGTTCCCACCACTGTCCCCACTGTCCCCACCACTGTCCCCACTGTACCTCTGTCCCATTGTCCCACCGCCGTCCTCGCCACCGCCTTCACCACTGTCCCCACCACCATTGTACCCTCCACTGTCCCACTGTTTCCACCTCATTCCCATTGTCCCCACACCACTGTCCCCACCACCACCGTCACCACTGTCCACTGTCCCCCCCTGTTCCCACCATTGTCCCCACCACTGTCCCCACCACTACCGTCCCCACCACTGTCCCACTGTCCCACTGTCCCCACCACTGTCCCGCTATCCCCGCACCACTGTCCCCACCAACACCGTCCCCACCACTGTCCGCACCCCCACTCGGTTTTCGAGGGGGGGGGGGGTTCGAACTGGTAGTGACCCCCCCCGGTTTTCGAGGGGGGGGGGGGGGGAAGGGGTTCGAACCGAACCGGTAGTGACCCCCCCCGAACCGGTAGTGACCCCCCCCGGTTTTCCGCCAGCAGCCGTAGAACACGCTCTTTCCTATATGTATATATGTATGTATGTATGTATATATATATATATGTTTATGTTTTTTTTATATAGGTGTACAGTTGTATTTATTATATCACACACGTGTATATATATATATATATATATATACACAACGTGGACTGCTGTACCACTTCGCTGGGACCGACTTCAGTCTGAGGATTTTTTTTGCGGCCCCAGGGCCCGAGGCCCAAGATGGCCAGAGACATCGTCGTGATTTTATCACGACGCGAGGAGTTCGGAGTGTCACTGAGCAGGGGGAGCAAATTCGGCTCCCGGATCTCTCCCAGGGTCCGTTCTGACCAGAAATTCGAGGTGGATGCTGCCCTGGCCACGAGGGTGCCGCAGGAACATCAGAAACGCACAGGCAGAGGGGGCTTCTAGAAGCTCACCTGGCTTCCCAGAAGCCTTTTTAGAAGCCTCCTGGGCCTTCTGAGAAGCCCCTCAGTTTCTTTAGTGGCCCGCCCCGCTCGCGCCACACCCTTGGAGGAGGAGGAGGAGGAGGAGGAGCGGAGGAGGAGGAGGCAACCAGCGAGCTCTCCGCGGGGCGACCTCGTGGGCGCCGCCACGAGGAGTGGCTGAAGTTCATCCGCACCCCGCGCGCCACGGACGAGGCCTCGGCCGCGCCCGCGTCGTCCCGGCCAGCCCCTGGCGCCGCTGGCGCCGCGGAGGCAGGCGCCGAGCTGCCAGATCTGGTCGTCGGGGGCGTCCATCAGGGGTAATCTAGGGCTCCTCCTCCTCCTCCTCGTTCTCCTCCTCCCTCCTCCCTCCTCCCTCCTCCCTCCTCCCTCCTCCCTCCTCCCTCCTCCCTCCTCCTCCTCCTCCCTCCTCCTCCTCCTCCTCCTCCTCCTCCTCCTCCTCCTCCTCCTCCTCCTCTTCTCCTTCTCCCTCCTCCCTCCTCCTCCTCCCTCCCTCCCTCCTCCCTCCTCCTCCTCCTCCTCCTCCTCCTCCTCATTTCCTCATCATCATCATCATCATCATCATCATCATCATCATCATCATCATCATCATCATCATCATCATCATCATCATCATCATCATCATCATCATCATCATCATCATCATCATCATCATCATCATCATCATCATCATCATTATCATCATCATCATCATCATCATCATCATCATCATCATCATCATCATCCATTCCTTTTCCTTATACATAACTTATCCGTGTCGCACGCCGAGGCTAGTTTTTAGGAAGGGCGGGGCGTTTCGCCTGAGACTACCTCACCAGTTTTGATTCTGAAGCTTAAACATTGGCAACAGTTTCGCAAATGGAGGGCGGGTCGCCTTAGCGCGGCGCACATTTGCTTGAACTTTTTGCAAGAGTTTCACGGATTGAGGGTTGTTCCTGTTCAATGTATGACTCTCGCCTTAGCGCGGCGCGCATTCGCTTTAAACATTTTCAAGAGTTTCACGGACTGAGGGCGAGTTCTTTTCAAAATGTGGCTCTCGCCTTAGCGCGGCGCACACGTGTTTAGAAACAACAGTTTCACAGATTGAGGGCGCTTCCTTTTCAACATGTGGTTCCCGCCTAAGCGCCGCGCACAATGGTTGACAACATTTTCAAGAGTTTCATGTATTCCCATTTTCAACGTACCAGAAATTGTATTTTGGAGGGGTTCATGATTATGCAGGCGCAGCAGTTAAACTAGGTTGATTCACTGTGTTGAAATTTTCGGAATGGCGTTCTGGCACAATTCAGGATTGTCAAGGCGCAACCGTCAGGTTGATACGTGGCGTTGGAATCCTGAGAACAAAGTTTTGGCATGCTCCAGGGTCTTCAAACGGGTGTCTTCCAACGGGGCAGTTCCCACAATGGAAATGAACCGCTTTAGGGGCCTAAGAAGAGGGAACTTGGAGGGAGGGTTTACTCCAACATCGTCGATGACTCTTGGGTTTACACTGGTCCTTCTCCTCCTCCTCCTCCTCCTGCTCGTCCTCGTCGTCCTCCTCCTCCTCCTCCTAGCTGGCTCGACGCCCTGAGCAAGTAGCCCGCGCCGCGATGCCTGCTGAGCCGAGCCGCAATTCTAGACCCGTCCGTTTCGTGCCTGCTAGCTCCCCTCCGCCTCAGCCTCTTTCGCAAGATGCGCCGCGCCACGCGCCAGGCGTCATCAGCAGTGCCAGTGATTGCGTGCAGGAGCCACGCACTCGACGCCCACCCATGCGCAAACCGAGCCCCGCCAGGCGACACTTCGTTGCGATTCCGACTTTAATGACGAAGCTGCGGACCGCGAGGCGGTCGAATTTCGAGGACTCGGCTAGAGGCCCCCTCCTTCGAGCGGCCTGCCAGGGCGGCGCGGCAACGATCTAGCAGTGTCACAGTTGTGTCGCTCGGCCTGGAAATGCGCTTTTAACCCCCCCTAAGGCTCCTTGGGGGGTGTTCTGCCAGTGAGCATTTTCGAGCATTTTCAAGCCGGCCGATAAATCCATTTGTCATATGCCCGCTTTTGCGCGAGCGAACGTTGGAAGGATTATCGTGCCCCGTTTGGGGGCGAATGAATGCGATCATGATCCTATCGCCTTGTGCCCCTTTTTTCTGCGCGAGGTTTGCTTGATGATTCGCGCTTGCACGTGATGGCCCCAAATGGCGCCGACGCCAGACGCCCAACTTTCTGCCGTGCCACGCCTTCCTGGCCGCACGTTGCAGTGCATGAGCGTTTCTCTCCACCTCACCTCTGCCACGGCTCGCCTTGCGCACTACTGATGTTCCGAGACTGGCGCATGCGCGGGACGCGAGCTAGAGGGTTATGCCCATCTGCGACGAGATTCTTTCGAGGGGTCCACTGCTGACTTCTCTTTTTGATTCATTTGCTTACGCCACACCGCCGACCCCTTGGGGCGGCAGCAATCGTCCCCCGCCTGGCCTGTCCGGACAGGCTGTGAGGCCCCTCTAGACACGTTTTGGAGCCCTCCCGGGACCGTCCTGCCGTTCCCCCAGGCCGTGGCTATGGTTTCTGGGGCCTTCGTGGGGCGCCCGGGGGCCGTCGTGGAGCCTTCTTGGGAGCCTCCTCGGGTGACAGGGGTCGATCTTGGATGTTGATTGGGCCGTTGTGGGCCTCGTGAAAGCCCAAGAAGCGAATGTGCTGAAAATGTACGTTTTTCCTGAGGAGTGGGACGGTTTTTGCTTGTAGAGGCCTGCTTTGAGCACCTCGTGGTCTCGTATGCAAACGTCTTGGACGCCCATGGGGCTGTCTGGAGGCGATCTTGGGCGGTTTGGATCGAATCGTCCCCCGCGTGGGCCGTCCGGACAGCCTTTGGGAGGCCTCTTGGCCTTTTTCGCAGCCCTCTTGGGACCGTCCTGCGGCTTTCCTGGGCCGTTGCTATGGTTTCTGGAGCCTTCGTGGATCGCCCGGAAGCCGTCTTGGAGCCTTCTTGGGAGCCTCTTCGGCTGACAGGGGTCGATCTTGGAGGTTAATTGGACGGTTGTGGGCCTCGTGAAAGCCCAAGAAGCGAATGTGTTGAACATGTACGTTTTACCTGGGGAATGGGACGGATTTTGCTTGTGGAGGCCTTCTTGGAGCGCCTCGTGGTCGCGTTTTCAAACGTCTTGGACGCCCATGGGGCCGTCTGGCGGCGATCCTGGGCGGCTTGGACCGAATCGTCCCCCGCGTGGGCCGTCCGGACAGCCTTTGGGAGGCCCTCTCGTCCTGTTGTGGAGCCCTCTTGGGACCGGCCTGCGGCTTTCCTATGCCGTTGCTATGGTTTCCGGGGCCTTCGTGGATCGCCCGGACGCCGTCTTGGAGCCTTTTTGGGAGCCTCTTGGGCTGGCGAGGGTCGATCTTGGAGGCTTCTTGGGCCGTTTTGCGCCGCGTGGAAGCCGAATGGGCGAACGTGATGAAAATGTACGTTTTCTCTAGGGAATGGGACTGTTTTTGCTTCTGGAGGGCCTCTTTGGGGCGCCTCGTAATACTGTTTCAAACATCTTGGGGACTTCTGGAGCCGTGTGGAGGCAATCTGCAGCGTTTTGGGGCGATCTTTCGTCGATTCGTAGCTCTCTTGGACCGTTCCGAAAACATTTGGAACCTTTTTGGCCCGTTTTGGGGCCTTCTGAGGCTCCGAGTGTGCGGATGACGGATTTGCCCCCTCCCCCCCCCCTTCCCCCTCCAAACCGGCCGGACCAGGCCCCCGGGGGAGGGGTTTGAGGTTGGGGAAGTATCTCACACGCCGTGACCCCAAGGGGTCGGCGGATGACGGGAAGCGCGAACGAGGAACGAGGAGCGTGGACCGTTTTTCTTAAGGAAAACTTTTATATGGGGCTCCTGATTGCATCCCGGCCGGGCGTTGGCGGATGACGGGAAGCGCGCTTAGACTCGAAGAGTCGCGCGATGGACGTTGGTGCAGACGCGGAGGGAAATATTTATCAACTGGGGGGAGTGCAGAGGGGGGAAGGGCTCGGGGTTGCTCCTCCGTCAGCCCCAGGCGGATTCCCCAGAATGGCCATTTCGCCTGAGACATCCTCACACAATGGAGATGTTGGAGGCTATCGTTTAAGGCTTTTGATATTACAAATGACGATGTCGCCTGAGACATCCTCGCAAAATGAGGATACTGAAATCGGTCGCGGAATCTTCGGATCTGCAACAATGGGGCTCTCGCCTGAGACATCCTCGAAACAATAGGATGTTGAAAAAGCTGCTTTAAGACCTCTTGTTTGACAAATGAGCCTTTCGCCTGAGACATCCTCAGAAAAATTGATTGAGATATTGAAATCGCTGGCGAAACCTTCGGATTTTCGAACATGTCGATTTCGCCTGAGACATCCTCCAGAAAATGAGAGGTTGAAGTAGATGTTGTACGACATCTTTAAGGGACGCTCTCGAAGGATCTCCAGGATTGCCCAAAAGGCAGGCCCATCCCGCCACCGTGCCTGGGTTGTTGGTCAGAGGGCTCTGCAGTGTTCGTTGGGATCTCCTGGTAGATCTCTCGGATGCCTCAAGTGGTACTTTGGAGGCCTCTTGGGGGTCGTTTCGGGGCCTCCTGGGGCTTATTTTGGGCCTCTTTTTTGCCTCTTGGGGTCTGCTTGGGGGCTCTTGGCGATTCAACGCGGGGTGCCAGGTGGAGCTGGCTGCCCATGTCAGTTAGTAGCGTCGTTGAACTCAGGCGGGGAGTGAACTCTAGCTGGTGTTGGCCCTGATCCTCCGCGGGAACCAGCCCCCGGCCGCCGTCCACATATGTTATAGCTGTTCGGCTCATCCGGTCTCAGTCTGTACTATCGGAGAGATCCTTGCACGTACATTTATCTCGCGGTATTTCGCGTTTTCATCTTTCCTTGCAGAATCTTTTTCTTTCCGTACGTTTCGGGTGAGCGCCACGTCTCAACTTGCGCGGCTAGTGAACCCTATCTGGTATATTTTAGGGAGTTCGGGTGAGGGCCACGTCTGAACTTGCGCGGGTAGTGAACTCCACCTGGTACCCCTTGTGCACGGTCGGGAAGAGCGCCTAGGCGACATGCGACATCAATGTTGGTGCACGTTCTTGCCAGGCTCTTCGATTTCACGCGCTTCCCGTTCATGTCAAGATAGGTTTCTAAATTGGCCGTTTCGCTCGGGACTTCCTCTAAAAAATGGAGTTGGCGTTGGCTCCAGGCCGCCTTTGTGTTCAGATCGCTCTTGGAGCGCCCAAGAGGGTCCCTGGAAGGCCACAGGACGGCTCCAGGGGGCCCGCATGACGGCCCCAGAGGCCTCCAAGAGCACCCCCAAGAGGGCCCAAGAGGCCAACATCGTCAAATTCTTATGGGAAAACGTAAATTTTTAGTATATACGATTTTCTCGTCTTCACGGCGTCGAAGACGGTCCAAGACTCCCCCAAGACCGACCCGCGCCTGCCCAAGAGACTCTCAAGAGGCGCCCAAGACGGCCGAAGAGGGCGCCAAGACGGCCCAAGAGGCTCCCAAGAAGGCCCACGAGGGCCCCAAGAGGGGCCCAAGAGGGTGAGCCCGAATTGAAAATCGGAGCATCCCGCCCAAAGACGGCCCTAGGAGGCCCCAGGAGGCGCCCAAGAGGTCCCAAGAGGCCCCCGAGAGGCCCCCAAGACACCCCAAAACGCCCCCAAGAGGCCCAAAAGAGGCCCCAAGAGGACCCAAAACGGCCCGCGAGACGCCTCCCAAGAGAGCCCAACGAACTTTCACTTCGTCTCATTCTCAATACCCCGGCACGGTGGCGGGATGGACCGAAGGTCACTAGATTTTCCATCTCCTTATCCCGAATTCGGGTTACACAGCCCCAAGACAGCTCAAGAGGGCCCGAAAACGGCGCCAGAGGGATCCAAGAGGGCTTCATGTTACAGGCCTCTTGGACCGTCTTGGGGTTATCGCCGGTCGTATTCAAAATATAATGGGCCGTCTTGGAGCATCTTGGAGTGGCCGGAGACGGCCGGAGGCATCCTGGGCATTCCTGGGAGGGGTGAGGGATCTAGTCCGTTTAACTGGATCCCCCCCACTGCAAGCCAGCCGGACCGAACCCCAAGGGGGCGGCGGATAGCTCGGGATCTTGAAGGTGGACGCGGGGGCCGCGTGGTAACTGACCGCTTGCGCACAACACAAGTAATAGCGGTTCCAGGGCGTGAATCTGGCTGCACTTCTGTGGGTCCTGGTCGCCGAGGCATGAACCCAGAGTACTTTGCAATGGGTCGTGGCCTGGGAGGCGCGTATCGCGTGTACTTTACGAGGGATCTGCGCCTCGAGAGCGCGAGCGTCGTATATTTTCGAGGGATCCTTGACTCGGGCACCGCGCAGTCCCCTCCTGTTCGCACAAGCGTTCTTGTTTTGACGTCCCCATGTGATGTCACACCTGTAACGAACGTTCGAACATTCGCTTCCCGTTCTTGTCAGGTCAGGGTTCTTACGTTCCAGCTCATTTGGCTTCGTGACTCATCCCCGACGTCGATGTGTGTGTGGGTGTGCTCCTCCTCCCCCTCCCCCTCCTCCTCCTCCTCCTCCTCCTCCTCCTCCTGCTCCTCCTCCTCCTCCTCCTCTCGGGGGCGCCCATTAGGGGTAATCTCGAAGAGTCTGTAGTTTCGGGTCCTCCGCCTGTTTCTCTCGGCGGGGAACAAACTCGACCCTCCTCCCCCTCCTCCTGCTCCTCCCTTCGCAACCTCTTGGGCCAGTTCCTGGAGCGCTCTGCTAACTTGGAGCGCCCTCGGGAGCCCCGAAGGCCACGCCCAGATGACAAAACCATCTCTGATCTGGGACGTCCCCAGGTACTTCTCGTCCAGGGACCCTTGGGGAGCTGCCCCGCGTGCGTGAAATAGAAAACTATTCTGAAGCTTCTACCAGGAATTTCAGCACGCCTATGGCCCGTTGAGCTGGCGATTTTGTTGCATCCGACGCGAACTCGACGAGAATTCTTGACGCCTCGCGTATCCCCACCACGACCAATTCGACTTTGACAGATGGTCCTTCGGGCCACCCTGGTACTCACGCAGTTGTCTGGGGTTGCGTCCATGCATCAATTTCGTCTTCTGACCTGGGTCGTCGTTTGTCCCGACCTCCTGGTGCTTCCGACGCTATGCATAGTGGCACGCTGGCAGTACGACTCAGTTTCAGCTGCCCCCTCCACTCGCCGGTCCGCCGCTGAGGTGCTGCGTGAGCCCCCGGTTAGCCGCTGTAGGTGTGGCCACCCTCCGTTGCTTTAGTTTAATTCGTCGCTGCGTGCCCCGCTCTGACTGGACTCGCCGCCGGCGCGCTCGCCCGCGGCCGCTGACTAAAAGTAATTATCCCCACCACCGTTTCCGCTCGTAGCTTGCCCGCTGCGCCCTTCGACGGCGTCCGGCCTCCTCCGGTGCGCTCGCGATCAATCAAGTATCCCCGCCACCTCTGCGGCCCCCCCCTTGCCTCGGCCTCTCCGCCCCCTGCGGCTCTTGGCTTGTGTCGGCCTCCCTCACCGGCCTGGGGCCTGCTGACCTCTCGGTTGCCCCCCCCACCGCGCGGGTGGTCTCCCCGACGGTCCCCACGTGGGATCTGGCACGCTCGCGGCTGGACGCTTCCATGGTGCGCTCCGGGGCCGTCGGTCGCCTGGATCGGTCCCTACCCGGTGTGCGCGCGTCCGCCCGCATCTTCCGCCTCGTGGAACGTTGGCTCGACATCAGTCTTCGACGGTGTCTGGCGATCCGGACCTTGATCCGTTGAGCGCCCGCAGGTGAGGTGGTCGACGCCTGGCGGCGCGTGGGATGCGCCCGCGACCCGCGTGTCGATGAGGCCGTTGGTCCTGGCGCCTGCTCCTCGTGGTGCGTCTACGAGCCGGTGGTTACTGACTTCTGGCATGCTCGCGGTGTCGCCCAACCAGGATTCCCCGCCGTTATGGCGTTGCACTCGGGCTGGCGGCCCCCTCCCCAGTCGACGGCGCCCTCTTCTGAGCGGCAGCAGGGCCCGCCTCCTGTTTGGTCCTCCCTCCGCTGTCCGCTCGGTGCCTCCCTCTTCCCTCCTCTTATTTGTGCAATTTAGACCGTAGCCCGCTAGCTACGACTCTCGGACGGCGTCCGGCGTTCCCGGTGCGCTTGCGATCATTAAAAGTATCCCCACCACCTCGTGGCGCTAATCGCGCTGGTCATTCCACTGCCTCCATGTCTTGGCGCGCGGGGCGCCCTGACGGCTGATCGCGTTGCTTGGCCGCTGCCTCATGCTGCCCTGCCTGGGGCACTTTTGGTCTTTGCATCTACGCGAAGATAGTTGCATGTTCCGCGGCATTAAGAGGTCGCTATATCCGTGACAGTCTACACCGCCCTTGTCGGATGCACTTCCTGGGGGACCCAGTGGCCACTGCCTGGTGGTCGTGGCTTTCCCTGGTATTCTTCTTCGTGGAGGTCGTTTTCCTTTCGGTTCTTCTTGCTCTTCCTATGCAAGGACTTCGCGTTCGGCAAGTTCGCCTGAGGGATTGGCTTCCGGTTTTGTCGCCGCCTTCCTGGCTAAGAGTGGCGCTCCGGTCCTCCTTTGCCGCCATCGAGTACGCCGCCTTCCTCGGTGCCTCCTTCTCGTTTGTGGTGCCCTACGTCGCGTTCGCGCAATTTTGGCCGCGTGAGTTCCGCCCCGCATTTGGCGTTGCTCGTCCTTCGTGTTCTGCAGCCGGTGGCGTAGCCTGCCCCCCTGCCCCTGCTAGCCCGGCGTTCGGCCCGTTTCTCGCGCCCGCGTGCCAAAATGTATCCCCGCCAGCCGCTTCGGTTTGCACGGCGTTCGATTCGCTTCGCGCGCCCGTACCAAAAAATATCCCCGCCAGTCCATCCAGAAACGATGCCCGTGGGAGTTTACGGGGGGGGAGAGGAAGAGACACGCGTAGTCGACCAGCGCTGGAGGCTTGGGAGGCTCCGTGGCCTTCTCGAGCCGTCTTGGAGCGGTCTTGGGGCCGCTTGGAGCGTCTTGGGAACCATCTCGGGCCAGGGCTATCGGGGCCGGAATGCTGTCGGCGAGGCGCAGACGCTGGAAGGCATTTCGGGGCTGGAAAGCCGCCGAGAACCAACGAACGCGTCCGAAGACCTCAAGCCTCGAACCTTGAAGCTTCGGTGTCCACTTACCCAGTCCGTCCCTGTCGTTCCCCCTCATCTCGTCATGTCCCCTGGGGACCCCCTCGTCCGCGCACGTTCTTTGGGGCCATTACGCGCTGCTGACCCGCCAACTCCTCGTCCTATTTACGTAGCTCCCCTTGTCCGATTGCGCATAACATGACGGGGTCTTTTTCGGAGTTCCAGGTCCGCGCTGACGTGCGTGTGCGGATCGAAAACCACAGCGCGATGGGAAAACATACGGGTGGTGCCAGATGTGGCCCTGGCCCACGGTGCCCCCAGGATTTTTTCGAGGAGGCCCCCATGGCCCCCAGAGCACTTTTCAGGAGGCCCAGAGGGCCGGAGGGGCCCCGAAATGGAGCGAAAAGCCGGGGCACTTACTGTGGATGGGGCACAAATCGTCCCCCCTTGGATCCGCTGGTGGGGTTGGGCACGTGCTGTCAGTCAGAACGGGTGGATGGGGTGGGGTGGGGTGAAGAGGATGAGTAGGATGAGGAGGGGGAGGAGGATGGAAGGGGGCGGGATTGCGCAGGGTCAATCAGACGGTCAACCCCTTCCCTTCGATAAAAAACAAACCCATCCAGAGCAACAAAGGGCTTTCCCAACCCCCGAGTGAGGGGTGGGAGGGGTAGGATGTCAGACGGGGCGCGAGCGCACCTCGCCTGGCCGAGCCCCCTCGGTCGTCATCCCCCCCCCCTTTCGGCGGGGGCACCCCAGGTCGGTGCGCCGCTGGAGACGTTCGACAGCGCCGAGGACTTCGAGGTGCGCTCGCCTGAGGAGCTCGAGGGCCAATGAGCGACACGAGCGCAGAGCCAAACCGCTCAGCAGGGAGGCAGAGGTGCGCGCGCCCACTCTCGCCCGTCCTCCTTCTCCTCCTCCTCCCCTCCTCCCCCCACGGTCCCCTATCCTTCTCCTCGTCCTCCTGCATTCCCTTTCCTTGTCGCACCCCGAGGCCAGTCGGAAGGGCGGGCCGGGCGTTTCGCGTGACACGTCCTTACCATTGATGATTTTTGAAGCTTAAAATCGGGCATACATATTTTTGATACATGGAAGGCGGGCGTTTTTCAAAATGTGGCTTTTGCCTTAGCGCCGCGTGCGCTCGCTTGAATATATTGGAGTCGTTTTGCATATTGAGGGCGGGTCGTTTTCAAAATGGGACTCTCTCGCTTGAGCGCCGCGCACGTTCGTTTACAACATAGTGCAGGCATTCCATGGATTGAGGGCGGTTGGTTTTCAAACTGTGGCTCTCGCCTCGGCTGCGCACATTCGTTTTTAAACATATGCAAAGTTCCACGGGTTGAAGGCGGTTTGTTTTCAACATGTGGCTCTCGCTTTAGCGCCTCGCACACTCGTGTTAACAATTCGCAAGAGTTTCACGGATTCCCGTGGTTAACGTACCAGAAATTGTGCTTGGGAACGGTCCAGGATTGTCACGCGTTTCTGCTTATGCAGCTCTTGGTGCCTCTCCAGGAGTGGATCGAGCTTTGCCGGCAGACCGCGGCCAAGCCGCAGGCGTGCGTGCTGCAGTTCGTCTCGCTCGAGTGGACGATGTCTGCGTGCTGGGTCCACAGCTACGACGCGCAGTCCAAGCGATACTTGGTGGAGCTCGAGGACTCGGAGAAAAAGCTCGGTGGGTCGAGACAGCATTAGTTTTACGTCGGGCAGGCCCCTCTACAGGAGGCATGTTCCACCATGGTCAACACATATTCTGGGGACGATTTTTTGGCAATATGATTGAGTTTCCCAACCATCCTGTGGTGTTCGGTCCTCGTTTTGAAGAGACAGCGCCCCGCGTTTCTTCCTTACTTTCTTCCTTCCTTCCTTTCCGCTGCCACCTCCCTCTCCTCCCTCCTCCCATCTCTTGCCTCTGCTCTCCGCATGCGCATCCCATTCTGGCACACTCCTCACACGGTTCGTGGCCCCATAGGGAGCGCCACCGCAGACCCCCAGTGGCAGGGTCCGCATGCGGGGACCGCCACCCATTTCGGCACACCCCTCACACGGTTCGTGCCCCCACAGGGAGCTTCACCGAAGGCCCCAGCGGCAGGGTCCGCATGCGGGGACCGCCACCCATTTAGGCACACCCCTCACACGGTTCGTGGCCCCACAGGGGGCTCCACCGAAGGCCCCAGTGGCAGGGTCCGCGTGCGGGGACCGCCACCCATTCCGGCACACCCTTCACACGGTTCGTGGCCCCACCGGGAGCTCCACCGAAGGCCTCAGTGGCAGGGTCCGCGTGGCGGGACCGTTACCATTTTGGTTCACCCCTCACACGGTTCGTGGCCCCACCGGGAGCTCCACCGAAGGCCCCAGTGGCAGGGTCCGCATGGCGGGACCGCCACCCAGGAAGGCACACCCTCACACAGTACGTGGCCCAACAGGGAGTTCCACCGAAGGCTCCAGTGTCAGGGTCCGCATGCAGGGACCACAACCCATTTTGGCCTCCCCTCACACGGTTCGTGGCCCCACAGGGAGCTCCACCGAAGGCCCAAGTGGCAGGGTCCGCATACGGGGACCGCCACCCATGTTGGTACACCCCTCACACGGTTCGTGGCCCCATGGGGAGCTCCACCGAAGGCCGCAGTGGCAGGG